CCATCTTCTGGTGCTGATACTCCCGCACCGTTATCATCTTCTTCGTTATCAGTGTTGGTTATGAGATTTCCCCATTCGTCCTGTATGGCTATATCATTATAACTTCCGTTCCTACTTGATCCTTGTTTCCTTCTTCGCCATGGTACATCTTTTGTGAGATCTGGATCTCTGTTACTCATTGTTATCCCTATTTGTTGTAACTCACGGATTAATTCGTCATTTTGATTTATTTTATTATTAATTTCTTGATATTTGGATAGACTTCTGAATAAAGTGTTGTTTTGGTTGGACCTATCACTTTCTTCAGTATCTTGTGGGGTGATTTCGGCTTTTGTTTCTTCTAAGAGCGCCGTTAATTGTTGTTCGAAATTATCTATCTCTTGGCTTCCTTCGATTACTTCCTGATCTTGTTCGAATGTTCCTCCCTCTGTTGTTGTCTCAGATAATGATTGTTCGTTTTTTATTTGAATATTTTCGGTATTATTTTCGTATTCGGAAAGAGGATATACTTTTTCAAATTTATCTTCGCAAAACCAGTATCTTTGTGTATTTGTCGAAGATATTCTTGAAAATATTTTTCTCATATTGTTACTAACAGAAATCATTTGATTTCTTTAATGAGGGCTGTTCTATATTTTTCTTCGACTTCCTCTCTGGTTTCGTGATATCGAATTCGTTTTCGAATATATGAATCGAGAAATATTCGTATGAATTCTTTAGTGTTTATCTGAAAATAGTTTTTAAGTTTCTTATATTGTATTTGACAATATTGTCGGAGCTCTTCTGTACTGATAGCCATGTTGGTGAGTGTTTCTTTTAAGGATAATTTCTCTTACCACTCGATTACTTTATATTGATTGTTCTTTTTATTATATTCCAAGATGACAGGAATATCGAAGATAGTTGATTCTAATTTTGTTTGAGAGCTTGTCGTATTATTTTTTTAAACCAGGTCCAAGTAATTTTATTTAAAGTTCTTCCAATGTTTCCGTTGATTTGGATTTGATGTTTTTGTTTCGTCGGTAAGTGTTTGATGATTATTATGTGACTTAATTCACATGCGTATATACTAAATTTTCTTTTGTTACTTTTTTTTGGTATTTAATAGGAACTTTAATATTCTCCCTCGGATAGATATCATAGATCTTTCTTGCTGTTTTTTAACTTTTGAATCTGTTTGGATCGGAACTGGTAACCGTCTTTTCTAAAATAGTATAGGTGGTGATTATCTGTTTATCGATATAGTCGTCAAGGTTGATTTTGATTTTGATTTTCTTTAGTTTCTATAGAGTTTCTTGGCTGAAATAATAGGTATATTGTACAATGATTTTTGCCTTTATTTAATAATGTTAACTTCGATGTTGGTTCGCTTCACTTAGGGATCTATCTCACTTCGAATGATCCCCCTGCTGTGAGTACCAAGTGTTATGATGGTGCTAATTTCGTAATAAATTAATAGAAGAGAATTCTCTTTTCTATTTTTAATGTAATTAGAATATTTCTTTATTATAATTAAGTTATATTTATTTATTAGTGACAAATAACTGTTATTACTAAAAGATGTTGGGGATCTTCTTAGTGTAATTAAATCCTAAGTGTATTTTATATTCTTAGCGATGTAAATGCAATTAATTCAATAAATCTAATAATCAAAGATAATTATGCGCAAGTGATATTATTTTAAAGTGATGAGATAGATTTTTAAGTATTATTGATTTGATACAATAACTATATAAAACAAGTTATTTTGCTAGCTGTATCTTGATCAATTGATCCTTTATTTTTGAGAGCAAGAGCAGCTTTATATATACATTTTTTGAACTGTATATTTTATAATTAAATAAATATAATCAATAATAAAGAACTATAAATAATGTTAAATATTGATAAGTATTAATATATAATTATAAGTAATAATAAATAATGATAAGTAACTATAATTATTAATAATTCTTAGTCAAGAATAATAATTTTAAATTATAATAAATTATAACGAAGTGTCATAATTTATAATTTATATTGATAATTTCTAAATAAGTATATATAAAATTAATTATGTTATGATAAACATTATCGTTATAAAATATAAATATAAGTAAAATTGAAATCGTGACATTTGCCTCCTCTAAGAAAAATATAAGCTCCTGCGAATACTACGTTTAATTCCACTATTCCTTCACTTTTTCTGCTAATTGCTGTAGTTCTTCGTGGTTCAAACATCCTAGTTTTAAGAATGTTCCTCTAGGTACTTCAAGAAGGAATTCGGGATTTGTTGAGAATATATCACTTAACCATTCTGCCATTCGGAGTCGCATTAATTTGGTCCTAAATATGGGTTTTTCTCCCTTTGTGACTACGTATTCTAATTTGTTGAATTCCGTTAGGTCCTTCGTTATTCGACTTATTTGTGTGCCAATTAATGCTAAGCAGTATAGTTTTTGTCCGTCGTTTTGTTGTGTTCGTGCATATCTGTTCCATTCTTCTCGGTATTTTTCTATTTTTAACTTTGGATCAGTGTCTGTGTCAGACTTTTCTTTTTATCTTTTGTTTCTTTGTATTATTAATTTCTTTTATTTTTCGTTCTTTTTCTTGTTGTGATTTATTAATTATTATTCTGGAAATACTAAAGGAGTATTCGATAATTGTGAGGGTGAAAAGTCGAGTTGATCACCTAATTCTAATGTCAGTTATGTAGGGTTTTCCATTACTTCGTTGGCTAATTGCCGGAGAATTGTTTCTAGGTCGTCAGAGGTTTCGTTTGTCGACATTGTTATTATTTAATCGTATTTTGTGATCTACGTTATTTGTTGTACCGTAATATTTAAGATATTATTGCCACGTTATCGAAATAAACTTTTCTACTCTTTTTATATTGTTCTTTTGTTGGGGGCGTTATTACCACAATTGGTTGATTGTCGTTAGTGTTGGTATTTGTTTCCCTCTCTTCATTTGACAATTCGTCCTCAAATGTTTCATTTAGTTCTTTAGATTTGTATTTCTTTAACCGATTTCCATGTATGAATTTTGCGTGAATTCCATTTTCGTCGGTCAATTTGTATGCACCATTACCAAGTTTTTCCCATACTGTATATGGTCCATCCCA